CCCCATCTACTGTATTTGTCTCTCTATTTTTCTCTCTATCCCACTACCTACCAACCTACCTACTCTCTCTCCCCATCTACTGTATTTGTCTCTCTATTTTTCTCTCTATCCCACTACCTACCAACCTACCTACTCTCTCTCCCTACCTATCTACTGTCTCTCTCTCTTTCTCTTTCTCTCTCTATCCCTCTACCTACCTATCTACACTCTCTCTCTTCCTATCTACCTACCTACTGTATCTCTCTCTCTCTATCCCTTTATCTACCTACCTACCTACCTACCTACCTAACTACTCTCTCTCTCCCTACCTATCTACTGTCTCTCTCTCTTTCTCTTTCTCTCTCTATCCCTCTACCTACCTATCTACACTCTCTCTCTTCCTATCTACCTACCTACTGTATCTCTCTCTCTCTATCCCTTTACCTACCTACCTACCTACCTACCTACCTAACTACTCTCTCTCTCCCTACCTACCTACTGTATTTCTTTCTCTTTCTCTCCCTCTCTCTCCCTCTATCTACCTACTACTTTTTTAAAAAAATTGCCTCTTCAAAACCTGGGTGCGTCTTATACCCCATGCGTCTTATACTCCGAAAAATACGGTATTTCATGTTACATTTCAGAAAGTTACAGAATTCAAATTAACCTAGAAATACACCAGTGTCAATGGATTAACAATTTCAAAGATGTCATATTGTCTTACCAGATCTGCTACTCTACATAAAGCATCGGAGAGCTGATCAAAAACCACCACAATCTCTTTTCCAGGAGGTGTAACGCATGCTTTTTGGACCAGTCGTTCTGCTTCTTGCAATGAGTTTTTTTGAGCTTCTTGAAATCCTTCTGGACAATTAAGTTCTGGTACACCAAACAGACCCTAAACCATAGGAAAGAACATTAGCAACCTATTTTTTAAAATGTAATATTCTATTCTACAATAATTTTAGAAATTACGTATGAACCAAAATCCTATTGACAATGTAATTTTGCCAGATAAATAACCTTTAAGTAATACAGTATGAACCAAAAGGATAGTTACATTAAGCGCAACTCCTTTGCACATTTTTCCAAATTCTCAATCAATTTTGGAGTCTAAATTACTTTTTCAGCATCTAATTCTGAAAAATTAGAGTTTTTTAATCTGGAGTGTTCCAGTAAACTTCACATAAATCTTTCCCAGCAAAACCAGTGCCCATAATTGCAATCAAAAGGTCAAAATAATATTCTATCATGTCTGGAGTGTTGAGATATAAGCCAATACAGACTTCTGCTGATAGTAAATGAATGTTTATCAGCAAATAGGAATTAAAAATGAAATCTGCAAATCAGAAGTTTGTCTCCCATTCTCACATAACATTCCACATTTATATACATTTATATTTTTTGCAGTCCAAACATGGTGTCCTACTTCTTAGGCTTCTTCTTTCTACTTCATTCCTTGATGATTTCTCCATTTAGCCACTGAGATATATTCATTTTTTTACTGGATTCTTCTCCCCCCAACCTTAGTTATCTTCTTCTTTTTTTGCAAAACTTGGTGTCTCTTAAAATTTCTTAATTCTCTTTTTTTATCCAGAAAGTCTCTTTTATATCTGAATGCTTACTTAGAAAATTCAAGTGGCTGTTAATAATTAATCGTTATTAACTACCTTTGGAAACTGCAATTTTCCAGCTCTCCAATACAGCACATAATAAAAAATAGTAATAGTAGTAGTAGTAGTAATGATGAAAAATTATGAAACACCGAAATCTCGCCATCGAAACTATACGGCTATGGATGAAACATGTAACAGTGATACCCATTGTCATCGGGGCACTTGGTACCATGTCTAAGAATTTTACAAAAC